TGCCGGTCCAATTGAATGGGTTGGTGAAAATTGGCTGGAATGAGATTAAATAAAGAGGAAACGGAAGTGAGTCTGATAGAAAAAGTACAACTGCAAATATATTAAAAATGTTTGAGATATGTCTGATTTGTTGCTTCTTCTACTGAAGCGGAATATATACGGCCTTGTTTAAAGCAGTTCGAGTAGTTTGCATTAGTATAGCCAATAATCCCACATGCTACAAGAGACCAAAACATATTGATATAAAGTACCATTTCTGAAGAGAGCAAATTAAAAATAAACTTATTACTCTTGTGTATGTATATTTCCACAGAGCACCAAGTGGCCGATATCCCGAAAAAGCCGTTGCCTGCTGCCAGATTTGTGACCCTCAGAAACGAATTGGGTCTCACAAACTAATTTTTTTTGCAATGAAATAATTTTGTTTTAATTTCGTATAATTATTTTTAAGCCAAGATCCGATTAAGGCTTTTCGTGGAATTCCCTTAATCTCAGAACTATTTTTGAAAAAGAAACTATTTCTAGACATATGTGAATCATTAATATTGTTCCCAGGAGGCGCAACTTGTTTAAGAAGAAACTGTATTGTAACATTAACAATTATAATTAAAAAAAGGTCAATGTATCTTTTGAGGAGGTGTGATGGAATAATGAGTGAAATCTGGTTTCACAGCACTGTGCCGTAAATAATAATTTAACAACACTGAAATACACACAAACACTCATTCATACAAAAGTTACAGTGATCAAGTAGGCTTTTGTTATTTTAACACTAGTCTTGATACTGAAATGCTTAAAGCGTTTAGCCTCACTCTTGATAAAGCATCTGAACAAACAAACCAAATTTTGCACATGAACAGGCCAAACCCTTTTATAATATCACACGACAGCTTCCTCGAAAGAGTGTGCGTGTGCACAAGTACCAAGTCGCAAAAATTGAACATTTTTTTGGTCTTTTCTTAGAATTGTTTGACATGCCAACGAGGAATTACCCTTGCAGATAAATGATTTAGCATTTTTTTTATTTAAAGCAAAATAGGTCCACACAGTAAACAAAAATATTAGAATATGAAATATACATATTTCATTTGGTTCATTTAAGGTTATATTAAATAAAAATAAATCAGATTCTTCTTATTATGCCTGACTGGACGAAGAAATACATGATAGAGCATTTGAATGTGTGTGCCTTTTTCTACCACAGGCACAAAGAGCACACAATTGAAGAAAATATCTCTGGCTTGCGAAAAACGCCATGATCTACTTGCGCGCAAATCCACACAATAAAAACATATATATGTTTGTAGATCTAAGGATCTGATGAACTGATAAGCCTCTGTCCACTGAACAATTTTCTTACACATTTCTGCATTTTCGCAAAATGTGTAAAATGCGGCCTGAACGATTTCCCATAAGAAAACACATATTACACATTTTTCGAAAATGTCACACTTTTAAAAATTTGTAAATTCGCCCAGAACAGTTTGTGTTTTTGCGATGATTTATCGAGTTTTCTATCGATGTTGTGAACAATGTGAATGTGTTCATTACCATAAACAGCTGATATTGCAACGAGGGCAAGCGGTAACTTTAAATTTTAATAATCGCACAGTTTTTAACATTTAAAGTTGGCCAAATCCCGCAAAAAGTCCATTAAATGGAGCCCCTACTTCGGGACCGTTTTATTTGACTTTTGGAAGCAAATCTTTGGCGGCGCTTATGTACGTTAAAGCAACTCGATCAACTGCTTATTTAAAGAAGCGGTACTTTGCCACTCACATGTTACCGAAAACTGGTGAAACACTAATATGTGTAATAGCACTAACCATACAATGCATAGACTTGTCAAATGTCAAAATAATCGGATACCGATAAATCGTCAACGACTGAGCCCCATGGGTGACCGCGACCATTTTAGTGTGCCCAGACAAAGTAAGACTGCTGAGAGTGGCAGCCGAACGCCGGCCTCGACAGCCGAACGTTCAGTATGAAGCCGCATCCCGCTCAGCGCACAACGTTGCTGCGGCTGATGCTGTTTTGTAATATATGTATCTTTTCAGCCCAAATACATACATATGTGTATATGCGTGTGCAGAGTGCCCCTCGCTCACACTTATTGCTTTGCGCACTTGTGTGCATCTCCTTCTCCCTGCATAGCTTCTCAAAAACCCCGAGATCTACAAACATACATATGTTTGTGTTGTGTGGATGTGCGCACAAGTAGATCGCGGCGTTTGTCGCGAGCCAGAGATTTTTTCTTCAATTGTGTGCCCTTTGTGCCTGTGGTGGCAAAAGGCACACACATTCAAATGCTCTATCATGTATTTCTTCGTCCAGTCAGGCATAATGAGAAGAATCTGATATATTTATATTCATTAAAAACTTAAATGACCTAAATGATATATTTATATATTATATTTTAATTTTTTTGTTTACTGTGGGGACCAATTTTGCCTAAAATTAAAAAAAAACTAGGTCGTATTTCTGCAAGGGTAATGCTTCGTCGGCTTGTCGAATAATTTAAGAAAAGACCAAACATTGAAAATGTTCAATTTTTTCAACTTGCTACTTGTGCACACGCACACTCTTTCGAGTAAGCAGTTGTGTGACATTATTAAAGGGTTTGGCCTGTGTTCATGTGCAAAACTCCTATTTTCCATGCTTGTTGTAAGGGTAAGGGTACCTGAAGGTTGGCATGTGTGCATATTTATTTTTTGGGCCTGCCAGGGCCTGCACACACACTTACACACTTATCTATATGGATGGAAGCGTTTATGCGTTTGTGTGCGTGTTGGTTGCCTGCCTGCCTGCCCGATGCAAATTTGACCAAATTTGAAGTTTTTGGCATTTCAGAATTTCGAGCTCTACACACAGACACACACACACACAAATGTGTGCGAATGAGCCGATCAAGGGTTTGTCGTGAGACAAAGATATTTTTATCAATGGGTGCGTAAATTTGGGCGACGGTGGGCTTGCGGCCGCGTATGGCACACATGTGTGAACAGACAACGAAAACAGGTGAACCGCACTTGCCGCTCGTTTGCACTTTGATATGGAAAAAATGCAAGTGATCTTTTTATTTATTTTTTGACATAGTAAACATTTTGGGTTAAAGGGTGTTATGGCAGGCAATTAACGATAAGAATGTGCAGCATGCGTCTGCATCCATTTGTCCATTTGTTCACACATTTGTGCCTTACGCGGCCGCAAGCCCACCGTCGCCCAAATTTACGCACCCATTGATGAAAATATCTCTGTCTCACGACAAACCCTTGATCGGCTCATTCGCACACATTTGTGTGTGTGTCTGTCTGTAAAGCTCGAAATTTAGAAATGCCAAAAACTTCAAATTTGGTCAAATTTGCATCGGGCAGGCAGGCAGGCAACCAACACGCACACAAACGCATAAATGCTTCCATCCATATAGAAAAGTGTGTAAGTGTGTGTGCTTGGCAGGCCCAAAAAGTTATTATGCACACATGCCAACGTTCAGGTACCCTTACCCTTACACCATGCATGGAAAATAGGAGTTTTGCACATGAACAGGCCAAACCCTTTAATAATGTCACCCAACTGCTTACTCGAAAGAGTGTGCGTGTGCACAAGTAGCAAGTCGAAAAAATTGAACATTTTCAATGTTTGGTCTTTTCTTAAATTATTCGACAAGCCGACGAAGCATTACCCTTGCAGAAATACGACTTAGTTTTTTTTTAATTTTAAGCAAAATTGGTCCCCACAGTTAACAAAAAAATTAAAATATAATATATAAATATATCATTTAGGTCATTTAAGTTTTTAATGAATATAAATATATCAGATTCTTCTCATTATGCCTGACTGGACGAAGAAATACATGATAGAGCATTTGAATGTGTGTGCCTTTTGCCACCACAGGCACAAAGGGCACATAATTGAAGAAAAAATCTCTGGCTCGCGACAAACGCCGCGATCTACTTGTGCGCACATCCACACAACACAAACATATGTATGTATGTTTGTAGATCTCGGGGTTTTTGAGAAGCTATGCAGGGAGAAGGAGATGCACACAAGTGCGCAAAGCAATAAGTGTGAGCGAGGGGCACTCTGCACACGCATATACACATATGTATGTATTTGGGCTGAAAAGATACATATATTACAAAACAGCATCAGCCGCAGCAACGTTGTGCGCTGAGCGGGATGCGGCTTCATACTGAACGTTCGGCTGTCGAGGCCGGCGTTCGGCTGCCACTCTCAGCAGTCTTACTTTGTCTGGGCACACTAAAATGGTCGCGGTCACCCATGGGGCTCAGTCGTTGACGATTTATCGGTATCCGATTATTTTGACATTTGACAAGTCTATGCATTGTATGGTTAGTGGTAATAGCCTTTCTCCACTGGGCTTAAAAATGTCACATTTTCAAGTTTTAAATACTGGTGTTCCACCGGTTTTCGGTAACATGTGAGTGGCAAAAGTACTGTTTCGTTAAATAAACAGCTGATCGAGTTGCTTTAATTTACATAAGCGCCGCACAGATTTCCTTCCAAAAGTCAAATAATACGGCCCCGAAGTAGGGGCTCCGTTTAATTGACTCTGCGAGATTTGGCCAATTTTAAATGTTAAAAACTGTGGGATTATTAAAATTTAAAATTATAATTTAAAGTTACCGCTTGCCTTCGTTGCAATATAAGCTGGTTTATGTTTACATTTTTCACAACATCGATAGAAATCTCGATTAATCATCGCAAAATACACGAAAAGTTCGGGGCGAATTTACACATTTTTAAAAAATGTGACATTTTTAAAAATGTGTGAAATGTGTTTTCTTATTGGGAAACGTACAGGCCGCATTTTACACATTTTGCAAAAATGTGACATTTTCAGAAATGTGTTCAGTGGGCAGAGGCTATAACTTGAAAATGTGACATTTCTTAAGGCTAGTGGAGAAAGGCTATAACATATTAACTATATCGATCAAAATAAACACCGTGATTATCGATTTTTCGACCATCCCTTGGCCAACTCATCTTTGACGAAATTCTCAAATTCGCTTTATTTTCTGTATATTAAATCTAGAAAATGCTAAAAACGCTTTATGTTATTTTCTCAATCTTCGGATTTATTTGGCCAATTCATAGTGTCATGTTCCACTTGACACCAAACACACAAAAATGTCTCAAGGAGGATATACAAGCTAATCAATTAGTAATGGGCGAATACGAAGTTTCGGATGTGCCTGGTCAAGTTATAGACTATATTGTGAGGTTTATTTTTTTCAACTTTAAGAGAAAAAGTAAAACAAACTATTTTATAGGCTCGGGACACCAAGGGTCATATACTGTCACAAAAGGAACATATTACCAAAGGAAAATTCAGCTTTATGTCAGAGGTTTATGACGCGTATGAAATTTGTTTTATTTCAAAAGTGCCACCGCGTAAGTTAATGGTTATATTAAATTAATGTCAAACTGACACTTGTTATAATAGATCAACGTGGGATTAGTCAAGAGGTCGCACTTGTAACGAAAAAGGGTGTTGAAACTAAAAGTTATGAAGGCGTAAGTTATACAATACAATTATATAAAAATGATTATTTAAGTTTTCTAGAAACTGTATTTATAGATAGGCGAGGCCTCCAAACTTAAACCGCTTGAAGTGGACCTAAAGCGCTTAGAAGACCTTTCTGATTCAATCGTCCGAGACTTTGCATTAATGCGTAAACGAGAGGAAGAAATGCGTGATACGAATGGTGACAACTGAAACACATGAAAATTTCAGCTTTCATAATATTGACTTCTTTATTTCAGAAAAAACGAATAGTAGAGTACTATTCTTCAGCATTTTTAGTATGTGCTGTTTGCTTGGCCTGGCAACTTGGCAAGTTCTATACCTTCGCAGATATTTTAAGGCCAAAAAACTCATCGAATAGTTACATTATACGATATTTCAAACAGCTCGAGTTTTACCGCTTATTTGCCTTTAACAATAAACTGTAACAAATTAATCAATTATCTATTTTCATTTTATTCACACAATTCATTTTTTATTACAACGATTTAGAATAGGTATAATACTTGAGATGTGGTATATATCTTCATTTTTAATATCCATATTGCTGACAATCTCTAAACGGTTGTCTCTTTTAGCAGCAATCCTCTATCAGTTTCTAGCTTGCCCAGGCAAGTGTCTTCATCAGGCAAGTTCATATTTGAAGATATTGCCTTAACTATAACATAGTGGGAATTGGATATCGGTTTCGCCGGAACACTTCCGCCTGCAGCATTGGATTGTGTCATCCAGAGACTTTCGTTCACCAAGGTTTGATTCATTAAAGTCTTTAATGAATGTAGTGTTTTGACTAAACGTGTTGGGTTTGTCGACTCTACAACAATATAAATTCAGTTTACAGTCCATATATTTTATTTAAAGTTAAGTAATGAAAATGAGCTAAAAACAACAAAAATCACTATTTAAGCGCTCAAAAATAAAAACAAACAAATGCAGTTATGCAGATAACATCAACTATTTTTGAATATATATTTATAAACTATAAAATACAAAAAAATTAAAGTAAATATATAAATACCTATTTGTAAAATTTAATTTTATATATTTATTTTACGAAGATTTGTTTCTTAACTTTTCTTAGTTTTTTTTACAATTCTGCAGTTATACTAATGTACACACGGATAATTCTTTCTCGATTCTGACCAAGTTATTTTTCATGTTTTGATATAAACTATGTGCATAGCCAAATCCACCCTTTGTTCGGCGGTAAAGCAATGTTATTTTTACATTTTTCTGTGCTAAACTTTTATATTAAATTTACCTAGTTTTAAGACGACGTTAAAATAGCTTTCGCAAATCATAGTTTTTTAAAACAAAATTGGGCAAAAAATTATAAGAAAAAATCACTAGTAATAAAATATTAAAATACTCGTCAACCATAGTCTTAAGTATATATGGCCAATTTGTAGGCCGTTTTTTTTTTTTTTTATAAACGTTACGTTATCCTTGAAATCAATTTATAATTATTTAAATATTTAACTAAAAGCGATAAACAAAATGTTATTAGCTTCGCTTTGAGTCCCAATTTATTAGGAAAGTATGGATGCAGTCTGATCGTTTTCGACTGTGACATGGGGTAATTAGACAAATGATAGTAATATTATGTACAACACAATTTAATTTAGATTGTATTAAATCTGTTGCATATTTCAAATCACAGTTTGTAGGTCAACTATGGCTATTGGTATATTTATCTTTGGTGTGAAATAAAGTAATTAATTTTATCTTCGAAAACTTTTAATTTTACGTAAGCTTTGCATAATTTGTTTTTTAATAATATGAAATAACTTTTAATTGTTTCTTATATAGCAACAAATGACGGTTAAGAAAATAATTGAAATATTTATAAAAACAATAACGACTTAAAAATACTGATTAACAATAGAATAAACAACCTAAATTAGTGAATACTACAACACATAGAAAAAAAACTACGATTTCGATTTTGACTGTTTGAAAGAGATTTTGGGGTGCTTATAGTTTCAACATTATTAACATCACCCTTCCCAACAACATCATCTCTATCTGAAGTACGCATAACTGTTCGCTGTAGGTCCTCTAATCGAGATTTTAACTGCACAGGGGTAACAGTAGCTCTTGACTGTTTCTCTGTGATTGCATGGACTGATTGTAAGGAATATAAGTCGTCGTCATTTCCATTTTGCCCAGGGTATGTTTTTTTATTATCTTCATCAGTGGTTTGCAAAAAAAGTTCGAATTCGCAACTATAGCTTGGGGAAGACGTTGGTATGCTTCTAAGCTCTGGATATGGGGAACTAGATTCATTACTTTCTGGAGTATACGGGTCCACGTGCGACCTTTCAATATAAGTATTAAGGCGTTTTGTATCGATTCGATTTACTATTATATTTTCTGATAATACTACACTATTGGATAATAATCTGTAACGATGCTCAACAGGCTGCCCTTTCGTTATATTACGGCAAATTGGGCAAATGGCACTTTTAGGCTGAGAGTCAAGGTCATCTCCGCGGGAGCCCGAATTATATGTTTGTGTACACATACAAACATATATATCTTCGGAATTAATTATATTAATGCTAATGCTTGAGTAGTTTGATGCAGTTTTTTTTATATCCTTGTCGCCTCCAACTTTTAATGGAGTCTCTATAATTTGTTTATCGTGTCTGCTGGGGGTGTTTGTATAATGGCCATCAGCTAACGGAAGGTCTTGTGAATTACTGTCTTGGCTTAGGATTTTACCTTCTTTTAAAACTTGATTATATACTTTTTTTACATAGGGACAAGTCTTGACTTTAACGGGTGATGTTAAATTGTTGTTATTTTTAATATGTACAGCTGAACAGCTGCAGTCACATGATTTATAAGTACCTTTGTTTGGCTTTAGACGAACAGTTAAGTAAATGGGCTACATGACAAGAATAGAAAAAATGTATTAGAAATATCAGCAGAAACATGGTAACATATATGAAATATTTATAAATAGTTAATTCAATCAAGTAAGAGAGCACTAGTCGGGAGTGCACGACTAGAGGACACCCAGTAACTTCTATGAACACAAAATGCAGCTCGCCCAACGAACTAGTTCGCTTTAGTAGTAATAACAAGTAAGAGGTTCTAGTCGTGAGCTCCCGACTAGGGGATACCCTGAACCCTCTTATTCTTACACCAAATGCAGCTCGTTTGCTATAGTAGTAATAAAAATAAATTAAAAAAAAAAATCCCTTGGCAGGGTCTGACCGCAACTGACCGCATTACTTGCTGCCGCCTCTACGGAACAGCCACACCAGCCAAAAAAAAAAGTCTCCTCGGCCGGGTTCGAACTCGTAACTGCCCGCGCTACATTCCGCCGCCTCTACTCAACAGCCACACCAAAAATTAAGTCTTATTGAGAAAAAAGCGAATTTAAAATAGGAGCAGAGAAAAAAATGCAATCGCAATTGTGTGTGTGTGTACATGCGCTAGCTGCCGCAAATACGTGTTAATACAGCACACGTTTTCTTTAATAACTTTTGTGTTTTTTTACCGATCTTGATCCAAGTTTCAGCTGTAGATCTTATTGGGCTATTCGTGTTTTTTGGGAATATATATTAGGTTTTAAGACCTAGAGTCACCAAATTTGTCATGTAGCTTCTAGAATATTATATATATACGTCAAGTATATTTCATTTTATAGCTATCGTCATACCACGCCACCACTTCATAGCTATAAATGAAATAAATAAAACTATTTGATTTACCCAGCAATTTAAGCTACAATTTTAATGTCATTGGCGTTTTGAGAATATACCAATATTCTAATAAGATCCATTAGGATCTACTGTTAAAAATTTCAACAAGATCGGGTAAGAAACACAGAAGTTATTCAAAAAAACGTGTACTCAGACTAACGTGTTTGCGGCAGCTAGCGCAAATTCTATAAACATTGTAAATGCGTTTGTATTATATTCTGAGCTGTGTGTATGTGTTGCTATCTTAATTCGATTTTTTTTTCATTTTACAACATGTTTCATGTTGGTATGACTATCAAGAAGAGGCGGTGGCAAGTATCACGGTCTGTTACGGGTTCAGGTCTTATTGAGGGAAACATTTTTTTAATTTTATTATTATTATTTCTAAAACAGACGAGTTCGTAACGGGGTATCCCCTAGTCGGGAACTTCCGACTACAGCCGATTACTTGCTTCTATTCTAAGGTATTTACGAAATTCTTCGATATTCAAAGATTATTGAAAAGTTCACATTACACACTAGGTAACATAGATTGTTATACATTGAACATTGGAAAAATTGTTACCTTATGGTCGCCCATGCATACAGTTTGTCCTATCATATCATATTTCCACTCATCACTTTTAATTATGTCTTTGACTTGTGGAGCCATTAAAATACGATCGCACCATGATGGACACCTAGTTGACATATAATCAGTAGGCATTTCGGGATCTTCTTCAAAAGGATATGATGGAATAAAAGATATTGGATATTCAACCAAAATTTCCGTAAGTGGTTCCAATTCTCTATCAAACTCTTTTAACTATGACAATAAAAAGAAAATGCATGTTATAGTATATATATATATATATATATATATATGTATATTATATTATTACCCAAAGTTCTTTGAATTTAAGTTGATGATCGGCGTGACAAAATTCTTTTCTGCCAACAGTAAGTATATTGTTGCCATCTGAGTTGCGATAATTAATTTTAGTGTTTTCATTCTTTACACTATGGACGCGATGAACAGTTAAATTTGCAGTTAATTCCTATCATAATTTAATAATTATTTTTAATATGTAATAAGATAAAATATGTAATGTGAACGTACTTTAACAACGCCTGCTGTGTCACATCTGAAATTGAAATCTCCAAATATAAAAAAAGGAACGGATCCATTTTTTTCATCCAAATGAAACCTGATTATTAATAAAATGCATCAATATAATAATAAAGAAAATTTGTCAGAAATCTTTTATGTTGGATTATATGTTAAAATCTATTATATACACATCGAGGCCCGCTGACTTTATTGTCGTTCTTTGCATCACCACTGCCACACTTAATCAAGAGTAAGAGAGCACTAGTTTAGACTGACTATCATCCGCGCATATCGAGTTTGTTTACGATATTTGATAACTTGCCCCGTTTTCAATCGACAAAAATCGATATTGAAATCCTGTCTTTTGAGTTATTTTGACATGTAGCTTCTAGAATAGTATATATGTATATATCAAGTATCTTTCATTTTATACCTATCGCCATCTCCCCGCTTCCAGCACAAAGCTATAAATCACGTTAATAATCCAACTTGTATTGCCCACTAATTTAAGCCACAATTTATATGCAATTGACTTTTGAGAATACACAAATATTCTATAGCACAATAAGATGTGCTGTCGAAAATTTCAATTGGTTTATTTATTTGATTTATAGCTACACAAGTTGTGTAATA